TGTCTAGGGACCGATTCTGCCGCATAACAGAAAGATGTTATGGCAAGACCATGTTATGAAGAACTTTCCTTACAAAATATTGAAAAAAGCCATGGGGTTAGTGTGCAGTCAGGCGTATTTCTCAGATTGTCACATAAAAAACCTAACCTAGAAATCGCACAAATGTAACAAAAAAACGATCTTAGATAACAGGGTGTTTCTGACTTCATATCATACGAGTGACGTTGCAGTTTATGTGTAAAACGCCTGAATACACAGCAAATACATGACATTTTGACAGTATTCAGTATGATTCAGTAGCATAATGTATGCAAGTTGAAGAGTAACATGGCTTACCCATAACATTTTTCTGTTATGCGGCAGAATCGGTACCCTAAAATATGTTTCCAAGTGAAAAAGACTCTTGGCGAGCATTGTGCATCTAATAAAATAATACATAATCAATATTAGATTAATTATAATAATAAATTATTAAAATATAGATAGGTTAAGTCTATTTTCAGCACTGGGACGAGCCACCTGCAATATTTTTTTAAAAAAAAACAAGAAGGTGCGGTACGAAAAGGTTGAAAATCTCTGGGTTAGCAGGTGGGTTATCATTTAAATACGAGCGAAAGTTCTGATTGAGGTTTGATGAAAATTGACTTTTAAAAAAAATATTTTTATTATATTTTGAAATATTTGAAATAAAATTTGAATGATATTGAAATTTTGAACTTTTTTTCAAAGTAATCGTGCTGCTTTAGCTGCGTAGAGACAAAATATCGAAGCGCATAAGCGCCGCGTCGCAGTCGAGCGGATAAACAATGTTACGTAACCCATAGAACTGCAAACAAAATTTATACTTATTATTAAAATCTCCATAAAATATGTGAGAATTTGATGTACGTATATTTAAAGATCATTTTTGACCGCTAAATGGCTTTTTACTCGATCTCTGAAATCGCTAAACCTGCTTTCCCAAAAATTTAATCAGTTCTTCATTTTATCAATAAAAGTAAAATGTTTTTTGAATGATTGACGACTCGAACTGCCTTCTTCAAAAACTAATCAGCACGTCTCCTTATCAAGACGAATCGAATGTTTTTTGAATCGTTCAAATCGGTCAAACCGTGCTCTCAAAATCGTCGACAAAAATTTGTATTCCAACACACACACATACATCCATTTTTTCTAAGGTATGTCAAAATGTTCAGGAAACGTAACGATATATAATTTCATTTTCAATTTCGATTTTTTGCGATTACTATAACTTACCCTACGGGTAATTTGAGTGAAAATAATCTAAAGAAAATAAGGTCGGAGATAAATAAGGAATATTATGGGAGCCTGAATTAAGTGGTAATATTCGAAAAAGTTTGTGGGTAGAACCTCAAAAAACATGAACCTGCGAAAGGAATTGCTCTTTAATAAGTCACCGCAATACAGGTACATTTATAGAGTATAGTGTAGAACAATATATTAATAAAACATTACCCCCCTCAGTAACTATTAGCCTATATAATGCTTATCATAATTGTTACGTTTCTATTAAATAGTCATAATTTTTAGTTTTATAGTTTGATTAATATACTGACACGAGGCGACGCCATGAATTTATCGAGACCCGTAATTATCGCATAATAGATTAATAAAGGCATAATTAGTCTAGTGCGTGCTGCACACAATAACGAATAACTTTACGACGTATGTAAATTAGATTTGAATATGACAGAAGTAGCATTTTGCATGCATACATGTACTAAGAACGTTCATTTGGAAGCAACGCTTAATATTGGTATATTTAAAAAATAAATATGTAAATGAAAAGTATAGTTAATTCAATTATATATACTTAATAGTCATACTAGCACCAATTAGGTTTAAAACCATATTCGTGTAGAAAATATGAAACAGGTGAAAATCGAATAGGTTGATAATTTTATTATAATAAGTAGGGGGAAGTTCCCAAGTGGCGGACACCTAAGGTTATTTATAAATAAATAAAAAATAATTTACGAAATGTTTATTAAATTATGATTTATGTTATATAACAAAGTTAGAAATCAAACTAATTTAACAAAACTGCAATCTTTGCTAAAAAATAATTAATACCATCAATCAAACTTTGGTATCAAAAGAATATGATTTTAACCAGTGGCACCTAGTACCGGACATTTCAAAATAACCTACATTGATCACATATGTAGCCATCTACACTGTCTCCACATATGTGTGTTTGACGAATATTCTTAGATATTGCAAAAAAGTCACTATTCATCCACCCTTTTGGCTGGGCCACACCGATGCTCTCAGCTGGTGCATTCATTATAAGCTTTTCATTCTTTGACTAGGAAATACCAAAAATGGGTGCATGTAGTGACCGTTAGCACTCATACAGAACAAAATTAAATAATTGAAATAAATTACGTAAATTCTCACAAGAAATATCAATATGTTTACTGTCCGGCACTAAGGGACGACTTAATGCACCTACTAAAATTGGTTAAAAGATCTAATAATATTTCACCATTTTACGGATAACAATCAAGTACAACTTTTATCTTTGCATACCACTCAAATGTAAATGCATAAATATGCTAGAATTACTTCCATTGATATTTAGGTGACGCCGTGATTTTGCGCCTGAAACAGGAAAGGTTTGCTCTCGCCGTGGCCGTGTGCGTCACAGACGAGGCTTGACGCTTGATCCTGTACCTGTGTGCCCCCGTGCCCCTTTCACTTGTATTTTGAAATGAAAAAATTTATACTCGCTTAAATAATACGTATTAAATAGAATGTCGGATACTTGGTGCCGTCCGGCGTTACGGGACTTTCCCCTACATAATATCAAAAAAAAATATATATACCTTTAAAAATATATCTTAGTTAGATCATGTGTGCCATAAACACCAATATTTTTTATATTATTTGATTGTAGGAAAGTGACAAGAACGGCTAGACCTGAATCAGATATCGATCCAGCTTCGAGTAGTTTGATGTCAAGCAGTAGTGATAATGGTTTTCACTTAGAAATATAGATAGCAATATCAATATGTTAATTATTAAATTAAGCAGTAGTGACATCGGTTTTCACTAAAAAATATTTCTGATCCGGCATTGCTGCATCAATAAAATATTCGTCCTATTACCGAAAATGTCATAATATTTCGAGATGCGACAACTGTTAGGGTTGCCATCTGTAGAACCGACTAGTATTAATTCAAAACAGCACAACAGCTTATATGACCCTGATCCCAGCAATGCCCTGATCCGGCATTGCTGCATCAATAAAATATTCGCCCTATTACAGAAAATGTCATAATATTTCGAGAGGTGACAACTGTTTGGGTTGCCATCTGTAGAACCGACTAGTATTAAGACAAATCAGCACAACAGCTTATATAATCTTTAAGTTTTATTTGCAGTTCAAAAATAATAATAAAAAAAGATTTGATCACAACTCAAGGATCTCATAAGCCGCTGCGATGATTTGACTTAACTTAATTTGCAGGTTCATGTAGATTGCAATATCTCAATATGATGAATTTTATTATTATTATTTTTGTAATAGAGGTGATTTTTTATTGATTTTTTATTAATGACAGACAAGGGTTATTTCCACTTGGAAACATTTGCTATCTATGATGTCACTCCTGGTTGACATCAAGCTGCCCGAGGAGGGTATCCAACTTGAGATCTATGATTGAGACCTAATCACGGAAAAGCCCATAAACACCAATATGCTTCAAAACCAACAGTCAAAAGATGCCGCTTAATAAGATCACTTATCGTCAGAAGTATTGATACAATCATTAATGAGCCGATTCTGCCGCACAACAGACCAATGTTATGGCAAGGCCATGTTACGCTCCAACTTGCATACATTAAGCTACTGAATCATACTGAATACTGCCAAAATATCATGTATTTGCTGTGCATTCAGGCGTTTTACACGTAAATTGCAACGTTACTCGTATGTTATGAAGCAGAGTCAGAAAGGCCCCGTTATCTAACATCGTTTTTTGACATTTGTGTGGTTTGTGGGTTAGGTTTTATATCTGACAAACTGAGAAAAATGCCTGACTGCACAGCAACCACATGGCTTTTGTCAATATTTAGAACGAATTGGGAAGTTCTTCATAATATAGCCTTGCCATAACATTGGTCTGTTATGCGGCAGAATCGGTCCATAAACTAAAATATAAGTAGTATATGTCAATCACAATATATTTGATTATCGATTAGGTCATTAAAAAAAAATTTTAAAAAATTTACATATAAACGTTTATATTGAAATTAAATGTATGTCTATGTAAGTTTAATCAAGATCTCCAATCAATGAAAAGCTGACCTTTGCACATGCAATATATAATAAATCTAGTTCTAATCCGGTTGGTGTATCATGATCATAGTAATATTCATATAGGAAAATTTACGAGAAAATGGGATACATCGGCGAAAATTGGCTAACGCTCAAGACTAACTGTCATAATTAAATAAATGATCGTTTTGTTCTATTTGCAACAACACTCCAGACATCTCTAGCAATAATCTATATGCGGTTCACGAGCCAAAAGTAATGTCTACGCATAAGATAAAACGGTTAGCGAAAGCGAAGGCACTTATAAATCAGAAGAGCTGGTGGAGAAATCGTTTAATAGTAATATTGTCGAAAATATGCCAGATCAGATTGCTGATATTTTCTAATTACCTATACAGGCTCGTAGAAGGAAGCAGAAAGTTTAAAAGAAAAATAGATAGGCCATACCAAATGGTGAAAAAAAGATTCAAGAATATGTAGTAGTAGCTGGTAGGTAACCGGTACTCCATTCATTTTTCTACTATAATTTTTCAGTTAATAAATGTTTGTTGAGAATTACATTTTGTTTTATTTTTCAAATCAAACATTTATAAATCGCATTGATTACTTTGAGGCTTTCAGTATTATTATTTTCAATAAATCCTCTACCAACTATCACTCTATTCATTACATGTGGGTTGTGTACTAATATTAGAACTCACTTGATTTCCGCCGAGTCGTGAATGAAAGCGAAGTCGGCGTCTTCATGTTGATTGACTTTTAAGAAGCCGACGGTAGCGTTTTCCACGGGCATCGATGAATTGATGGCCATCAAAATGTGGCCATATTGTTCCTTGATTGGATAATCCCAAACGCGATACTGGGTTTGGTCACTGGTGCTGTTTAGAGTAATTTCTTTCCAAACCCTAAAAAGATGAAAACCTTATTGTTACAAAAGTTCTTACTAAGTCCACACTGATATCTTTCACATTGATATATTTTATTTTATAAATTATCGCTAGTATCTTATGTAAAAATTTATGACGCAAAATTTTGGGAGTTCCTTCAAATCTTGGGAGCTTTCCTCGAGTTTGTACAGCTTATACAAATAATCGCATTATTACTAATAAGATGAGCATATTTTTTCAAGTCAAAACCGGGACAGTAATTTTTAGGTATGCTAATCAGGGTCGGGATATGGAGGGTTTTTTAAATGCCAAAACATTCTCTTTATAATTATTTAAAAATAATTAGCACTCATTCCAGACAGTGGAAGGGAGGGTTTTTTAAATGCCAAAACATTCTCTTTATAATTATTTAAAAATAATTAGCACTCATTCCAGACAGTCAAAAAGTTCATTTCCATATTTATTGTTAATTTTCGTAGAATTAAAAATAGAAGTTCAAAATTAAGAATGTGAAAGGCTATTTTAACCCGCCTTTTTCATGTTGTACATATCATTTTCAGATATTTGATGGTTAGTTGTAATTTTATTATCAAGTAAGTGCGAAGATTGAATTTATTCTATACTTTTCGAAAACCCGGGACAATCCGAAACAAAAGATATCCGGGACAAATATTGCTTTTAGAAAAACCCGGGACACAAGGTGGAAATCCAAGACTGTCCCGGCCAAACCGGGATGTATGGTCACCTTATTACTAACATTTTGAAATATTCAGAGAATCATCAAAAAACTGTTCTTTTATTTGGTACTTTGGATTTAAAATTATTTTGTACATTGATTCATTTTTAAATTAATTCTTTTAAAAACCACTTGGCAAAAAATACGCTAGTTGTTTTTTATTATTAATAGAATAAATTCATCTCTGTAATTCTTCAATTATTGATTATGACAGTAATTGATATCTGATGAACAAATATGAAATGTAAAATTTATGATAATATTCGGGGTGTTCTTTTAAAATATTGTGGGATTCTTTGTTCAGCTTATATAAATAATCGCTTATTAATAATATTTTGAAAAAGAAAATTTTCTTTTTTTATTATTTGGTACGAATTTAGAATTATTTCTTTAAATTCTTTTAAAAACTACTTGACAAAAAAATTATGCTAAGTTTTTAAATCATCAATAGAAATTATTAGGTATTAATATATTTTAGTACTCAATTATTATTTATCAAAGTTACTAACATCTGATATTAAAATTTGTGATGCTCTTATTTTTTAGGTATTTCTTTAATTGTTGACGGATTCCGTTAATAGTAATATTTGGAAAATGATCAAGAAATGTTTCTTTTAATTAAATTTTGGATTATTTTATGCATTGATAAATTATCGTCAAAAAAATTACGCAAGATTTTTTAATTATTATTAAAGCTGATTATTAACTTAGTTTTTTAGTACTCAATTATTAATTATCAAAGGTACTGATATTTGATATAAAAATTTGTGATGCCTATAATTTGGGGAGTATACTTAAATGTTGGAGTTTTCCCTTATTGTACAACTTATACAATTAATTGCATAAATTGTAGGACTTTAAAGAATTTGGGAATATTTCAAGAATTTTCGATTTTTTTCCAAGAAATTCTTCTTTTTTCATTATTTTGTAACATATATTATCTTCATGTAGAATTATTTTGTACATTTATAAATGAATTCTTTCAAAAACCACTTCCAACAAAAAAATAGGTTCTAATGTAATTAATGTATTCTAAATAATTACGGAAATATTATTAATTATTAATACGAACATTGTTCTCATTCCAAAATTGTTTCTAAATATCACTAACTCGATAAAATTTCTTATAAATTCCCAAAAAATCAACTCTTAAAATTTGTAAAAAAAATGATTATTTGCACCAATCTGTTAAAAGTGCAAACTTGAAAATGCAATTCGAAAGCACTTATTATTTAAAAGTTAAAGCCTCATTATAGTAAAATTAACTGTAATTAGTAACTGTTTTTCATGATTTCCCACAATTGCCTATTAATTGAAGAAAAGGGTTCGACAACCCTAACAGTTGTATATGTTTGCAACAAAACCCTGCTGTGTTTTATACAGTACCGGTACAATGTGTCCTCTGCGAACTTCATGTTGATGAAATAGCGATGTGTGTCTGAATTCGCAACGACGGTGTAATTAATCCTGGATTGTCTGGCCAGTTGTTCCAATGACTGAACGGGCGCCTGGAATATATGAGACACGAATGCTTTATGATGGCGTGCGACGCATCGAATGGGGAATATGCATTTTTTTACTGTAGAAAAAAAGCTTTTAATTGACCTGACTTATATACTAAATCTAAGACTAACGTAAATAAATTAATTATTTAATATAGCGCATTATTTAGTTGTTTAGAAGCACCAGGATTTAAATTTCTCTGATAAATTAATTATAGGACAGAGCAGTGCACAAAGGTTCAGTTCATATTTGAGCAATTATATTGTTAAAACCAAACCAATGATATCACAACTAAAAATAACCAACAAACAACTATCTGACTATGTTCAGTAAAACTCCAAGCCAATTCATCATTGTAGAAATGTTTCTAGCTGTTGTTCAAAAATTTGTCACATGGTCCGTTTACCCAATAGCCAAACTAAAATGAAAGAGTCAGGTGGCAAACAGTTGTTTTTACGTAATAATAGCTACGTTATTCAACCAATGCAACATATAAATTTCATGAGTGCATTTTTTACAGAGATAACACTGTAAATAACCTTGATCTGGTATTTTGTCAGATATATTCTTCAGCAAATTTGGAATTTTACAAAATGATAGCTACGTTATGCAACCAAGACAAAATATAAATTTCATTGGTGCATTTTTTTACAGAGATAACACTGTAAAGAACCTTGATCTGGCATTTTGTCAGATATATTCTTCAGCAAATTTGGAATAGAATTTTGGAATAGAAGAATTTAATTTATATCTTGCAAAATTGCTTTTTTTCTTAATTTCCTTTTTTATTAACTTAAATTGTTGCGACTCTTGTCAGTGGAAAGATTGAGGTGGTTCCATTCATCCCACGATGGTGTGAGCTTCTATAGAGATTATATAAAAAAAACTGTTGAATTTAACTGAGAATCAACAATACATCTTATAAAACAATTAAATAACGTTACCTAAAAATTGTATCAAGGTCTCGTAAACTAAACAACAGTGCTCACAACCAAAACAACTAACAACGAAAGAAAATACTTTTGTTATGAATTTTCAAACATTGCTGTTTTTCTCCCGAAAGCAACGTTGTAAAAATGAAGGTGATCCTGGTTATACATCCTTTTCTCTTCACTTGTTCCTTTAGATTTAGTCTTAGATTAGCTTCAATATAACATTATCTTTTCAATTGTTAAACTAAGAAAATCTCACTTGAGTTCTTCTTAGACATCTCAAATATTGTCAATTTAGCTTATAGGAATCCTTATGTATTTCTGATAGCTGAATAACACAGAGTTAAAAAAATTTAAAAAAAAAACTTGTTCCTTTGTTGCTCTTTACTTGAGTTATACAGGTTTTTCACTTGATGTTTATACATCTTTTTCTGTTAAAAAGTTCTTAGTTTTTGAAATATCGGTGGTGGACCCTTTTGCCCGCGGACCTTTGAGCACCGCTCAACCCTACGCATATATTGATTCACAACACAAAAATTTAGTAAATTTGAATCTATATTTCTAGTATTTATTGCTAACTTCATGCTGAATAAAATAGACATTTTCATTCGAATCTTACAATTAGTGTGGACCTAACAATATAAAAAATATATCAACCAATGCATTAAAAATGTTTCGTAAATTTCTTATATAAAAATACAACTTGAGATATAAGTTATAAACCAATAGTATGAAAAACATATAAAGCATTGAAGAAGCATTTGTAAATCTCGAAATACACAGTTCGAAATGAAACGAACCCTATAAAAACTTCAGTCAGGTAATTAATATTTTAGTCTTATTTCAATTATAATTTTTACCTGCATTCTCTCGACCGTTAAAAAGGCAGCCAAATTTGCGGTAAAAGTAGCCAACATAAGTACTACAAATAACCAATAAGCAGCAACCAATGTTCGTGCCGAAAGAGATTTTGGTGCTTCACCTCCTCCTTGCGGTGTAAACGACGTCAGTGCAAACCAAAAACTTTCTTTTAATGTGAAATCCCTGATAAATGTAAAATAGTATAATTGTTGCATAGAGAATTGATAGTAGACGTAATAATAATAATATTATGGAGGAGTAAATGACTCAATTTTACTAACGGAATAAGTGCCTGGCGGTATCAAATAAAATGTGTAGTAATTATATAGTCCAATTTTAATTTCCAAATTGCAAGTTTTTTGTTTAGTAATCAGTTTGTCCAGTAAATTTTATCAAACTGATTTTCTGACATTTCAATATTTTGAATCTCTTGCAATCTTTCACATTTTTTTAATATTATACATTTTATTATAAATACTTAATATTATAAATTTTTATCCAATTCATTTACCTGCACGGATAAGGATACGCTTGTTTATTATTTCTGGCACTATATGGTGAATATTTGTCCAGGAACCATATCATAATAGCAGTAAACACGAGAGCGCCCACAATACTTAGCCACACTTCTAATCTTAGCACAGTCATGAACTTGAAAAGCGAAGTTTGTCGCACAGGTTTTCTCATCACTAATTTAGATTACATACTATCATTTTCAAAATGTTCAATTATTAAAAATAGTTTTATAAACTAGTGGTGGATTGCAGTATGCTCTCCTATTTCTAAGTAAGCATGACATAAAAAATCAGGACATCGTGCCATCCGCCGCAGAGGCTTTATACCATTTTACAAGGACATTGTTATTTTGTTTAAAATAGCATATTTCTTAATAGCAAAATTCAGTGTGAATGTTATTAGCATACTTCAAATATTATTTGCTGGTATAAAATCCAAAATAATACATGTAAAAAATCCATGCCAATTTTTCTGATTTCTGAATGAATTGTATGTTTAGAGTGTTTATTAAATAAGTAATATGAGACTTCCCATATTTTGAAACAAAAAATAATATTTTGTAATTATAAAAAATATTTTATATTATATATAAGTGAATTGAATTATAATTTCACGTTTCAGAGGCTTCTAAACATTTTGGCATATTTCAGAAAAAATTAATGTGTGTGTGCGTGTGTGTATGTATGTGTGGATACAATTTTTCGTCGAGTACCGTTTTCGGGAGTACCGATTTGAATGATTGAAAAAGCAAACGATTCCTACTAATGGAAATTAGTGCTGATTAGTTTTTCAAAAAACATTCTATGTGTAATGATGGGGAGAAGTAGTGATTAGTTTTTTGAAAGGCAGCTCCAGTCGTTTCGAAGATACGGAGCTAAATGTATGAAAAATTGCAGTTTTTGAGAAAACTAAGCATTCGATTTGAATGATTCAAAAAACTTTTTACTTGTGGGGACGAAACGATTGTTTTTGGAAAGAGCAGTTTTTTTTTAATTTACAAAAAAAAAAATTATATCGAAAATTATTTTGGTTTTAATTTTAATTCTAGCTAAAATAATTAAAATGAATAATTTTAACTTTGCAATTCAGTTTATATAATTCTTAGAATTATGAGCAAAGGTTCTCCATTATAACTCCTCTTCGAAGGGGATCATTGAGTTTGGTTTGTTTACTTTTCATGTAAACTTATATGAACATCATCGTCTAATTTATAAGCTTTTAGATTTTATCTATAAAATACGAATAATGAAAGTTACAGTATTTATAATAATATATTTGACAACATTTAATATTCTTCGATTATATTATTATAGTATGGAAAGTTCAAGCAATTTGCTTTAAGGCACGATGCCATACACCATTAGTTTTTTTTTATTTGTAAAATTTTACAAAAAGAAATAGGGTAGTTTGAGAAACAGTGATTCACCCATCTTTTTCTTATTGCGGTGCATTTATTTCAATATTGAATATTTAAATAAATAAATAACAAATGTTTTAGTTCATAAGTCATCAACGTGAGATGAAACAAAGAACGAAAAACAAAGCCACGAAAAGCACTTACAATGTAAGGCGACGGCACCGTATGCAACATATAATCGAAAATATTATTTTTGAAATTTCCTACAGTAAAAATAAGAGAATAAAAAGAAAAGAAATTGTGTTTATTAATCACCTAAAATTGTTCTAAACTTATAGTAGTATTTGTATACAAAAGGTAGAAAGAAAGGGCCAGAAAATGATTATATCAATGTCATTCAAATACTAATTGTGCTAGAACAACTGACAATGAGTTTCATAAAATGCCCAAAACGCAGTTTTTCCAATCTGCAAAGCCATCGAAAGTTTTCAATAAAAGTAATGACTGCTTTATTGACAATTTATGGAACGAAGCTAGATTTCTATCAACCACTTACCGATCAATATTCCTGATTGCTCAAAGTAGGGCGCCACGAAATCTATTACCTCTTCGCGCTCGGAAGTCATCGTAAGAGAAGCTACTACCATATCAGTTTCCTAAGAAATTAAATTAAATTAATTAAATATTTCTGAAATAGATATCACAACAAATGATTTATGTTCTCCTACAATAATTGAGATTCCAATTAAACCATTACATATTAACAACAACCAGTTAAAAGTCTAATAAAAGTAATTAAACATATTTTGATAGAATCACATTCAAAATTTTTTTAATATACTTTTACTGCACTTTTCCGTAAATGACTATTCAAACTACTTGGTATTGGTATTTTGCCTTGAGGCAAGTTACATGAACTTCCCGATTTGTGTAAATAATCTACTTAATTCATGATAGATAAATTAATTTATGAGTAGTTAAAAGTATTCGAAGTGGATTCATTGCACAATATTGAAAATCGAACACGTCAACCCGGTCCGAGTATTGTTTAAAAGCAAATTTTCAAAAATTAATAATTTTTATAATTGAGCCAGTTTTTTGTAGGACTTTAATTGTTTAATATGTTCATTAAGACCAAGTACTCTATCGTTATACCAAGTAAATCATCTAGTTTTAATTTTAACAAATGTCAAAACAACTACTCATTTTCTCAAACCTTGATGAATTTTTAAAATTAAACTACTTGTCGTAAGGCTGTAATATTTCAGTAAGTTCTGTAAGACCGTGATATATATCGCCAAAAAAAGTTCCATGAAAATCAGCTTAAATTTTTTATTTTCTACAGATAATTACAAGAAAAGGGCTCGGTAGATTTTCACCTAAAACTAATCAGTATCATTCCCAACTAATATCTTTCAAACAATTATTGATTTTTTAAAATCGATTAGGTAGTATGAGCTTAAATGTGGACGAAAAGTTTAACACTTTTTTCCAAATTACAAAAAAACGGCTCAGTCGATCGTCGCACAAAACTGAGAAACGATAATCCTCATCGAGATACATCAAATGGTTTTTAAATTTCTGAAATCGGTTCAGGCGTTTTTGAGCAAACGTCGATGAAAATTCTAATTCTGACAAATGCGAAAAAGACCATACTAATTTTTGCAAACTTTGACGAATTTTTAAAGCTAAACGAGTTGTCGTAGTATGATCTAAAAAACTATGGTATCTACCGTCAAAAAAATAATAATAAACATCGACGAAAAAAAATTTTTTAACACCTTATTACAAGAAAACGGCCCGGCCGATCTCTACCAAAAACTCATCAGGTCGATTCCCAACCAATATCTTTCGAACAATTTTTGAATTTTCAAAATCGATTTAGAATTGCGAGCTAAAAGGTGGACGAAAAATGTTCTTTTTTGCTATTTACGAAGAAACGGCTTGGCCGATCGTCGCACAAAACTGACAAAAAATAGTCCTCATCGAGATACATCGAATGGCTTTTAAATTTTTGAAATCGGTCTAGCCGTTTTTTAAAAAACGGCGATTTACGGCAAAAAATCTGTTGATGCACACGCGCACACACACACACATACTTTTTCCAAATTTCGTCTCATTTGATTCAGAATAGCTTGAAACGTCGAGAAAACATAAAATTAGCGAATCGGATTTTTTTATGAAAACATAAACTTCTCCTTCTTCTTCTCCTTTCTTCTTCTCCTAAGTTAATTATAGTAATGATTATATTAAATCTTTATTTATCTTACCCCAGAAGCCAAATCTCCCACCAAACCGTCCCAAGTCCCATCCCGGGCACGAACACCAAATGAATTATCTTTCGGAACAACTAATTCATAATCAAAATTCATGTCAACCGATAGTTTTTCAATAAGATCGATGCAATATCCTTCCCATTTATCGGTGCCATCAGGATTTTTCACTATTGCACCAGTCTCTGGATTGGTCACTCTGTAGGCCCACGGGATAGCCTAAAGCAAAGAAAGAAATGAATTGATTTCATTAAATGCATTTATTCAAATAGGTTTTATTACCTGGGCTGTTCCTATTCGAAAAAATCTCTTAGTCGAAATAAGCTGTTTATCCGGCAGCATATTCAAATTATAAGTCAGCGTCCAATTGGCAATTGGATCAAGATCGTCTGTCTCGTTGACAACACTGACATCCCACATCATTTCATAAGTAATAGTAAATTGGTCTCCGTACATGACAAGGCCAATGTCGTCATTTACTTCACTTGTTACTTTTCCTAGTAATTCATATCTGGTGCTATTTTTAAAATCATCTCCTGTTTCTACATTGTCGCACGTTATTACGGTTGTAAGTTCACTTCCACCATTTGGAAGCATTGAAATACTTCGGGCTAGTACCGAAAACAGAAGACCGAGAAAGGCGCGCTGGATCTGATAATAAAAATAGGAAAATAAATATTTGAAGATGTCCAGAAAATATTATATATAATATAAATATATAAATATATAAAAATAAAAAAATGTGCAAATATTATTATGCGAATAGAAATATTAAAACTGTCTGTATGCGTATCCAATGACAGTATTGATTCTGATAAGCAATAACTGATTTATGATATAAAACAGATCCTTAAATAATAAAATACAGGTAACCCCCGCAAAACACAGTAGTTACTTTCCGAAAAAGTAGCGTGTTATACGGGACAAGGAACTAGTACAAAAAGAGAAGTTACGTACCAAGAATTCAAAAGAACATTAATTTATTCAAGAAGTAATATATATTACTTGAATTATTTGATTTTTTTTGTCATAATTAACTGGTAAGTGCTATCCAACACGATCCTTTTGTTTGCAAGGTATCCTCATCTTCTGAGCAGTTTTTTGTACTAGCTTAAGATCTGTGCATTATTTTTTGCAAAAAAAAATTTAGGATATTTAAAGATATATTAACACATGCAAAGTTAACTTCAATAAAATTTAAAGCTCATTTTAATTAAAAGATCTTTGTTTAACACTAATTGACTAATTGTTCGGGTAAGCCTAGAATTTATCTATAAAACGTACTCGAATAATAAGTATCAAATATTAGTTATTTTTTGAGTTAGTTTCACACATTTATTAAGCTATTGTACTGTGATTTTACTAATTTTAGATTAAATAAAGTTTGATTTTAATAGATTTTACTATATTTTTTATTTTATTAGGGTTTTGCTCAATTCTGAAACCGTGTTAGAGCGAATCCGTGTTATAAAAGTACCGTGTTACACGGAGGTTACCTGTATATAAAATGTTGACTAACAAAAAATAAAAGAACCCGTCATTGATAACCGACATTCATTTGCGAATAAAACTTTCTTCATCAAAGCCCACAATTCTTCATCAAATGCTTGATTCTGTAATGTGAATGTATGACATCGACAATAGACATTAATATCAATAATATTCACCTTAAAATCTTCTGGACAAGTACAATCACCTTCAATATGAAGTAATTTGCAGCATATTTGGTTTTGTAATGTAATTAAACTGATGTTATAGAAATCTTTATAATCAAATTGTGATGATTTAAAATCCATAAAAACGAGATTCCACCGATCCAGTCTATTCGCTACATCACTTACAACGGCCTAAATTAAATACTAGTCAGCATTAATATCAAAATTTATAACACATGATTCAAGCTTAACATACCGTTTTAAATAATTTAATCATATTAGGCGTAGTAGCAAATATCGCATAATACGATGGGGTTGGCCTTATATTCAATAAACTTCTAATTGAATCTTTGTCTAAATTGTCTAGAACTATAACTCGTAGAACAGATGTCGACACCAAATAATACAATCCTTGATTTAATTCTATAATAATGAATCGGATAAAAAACCGTTTTTATTGAAATAAATGAAATAGGTTTTCGACGTACCGCTTTCATCTTGAAATATTAGAGCAGCGTCACTCCCTGATCTTTCCATTAGATAATCGTCAAGAACTCTTACAAAGGGCTGTAATGATATATCAGCCCTGTAATATGGTACACCAGCCTGGTCGGACATCACGTGAGCTTGGTGCCATCCCGTCCAGGTTAAATCTAATGTTAAACTGATTCCTTTCGCCATTGCTGCGCATACTAATCATTGAAATATAAGATAATTATTAAATCATTATAATAATCATCAGCCTTATTATACTTTGAAAATAAAACATCTTATTTAAAATAATAGTGAATTAAACCGAAGCTGAGTGGCAAGGTAGAGCAGGGTAAAAAGGTCCAAAGGTAGAAAGGTCTAACAACGATATCTCAAAAACAAGTAAAGTTAAGAATATTTTAACAACAATATTTAATGGTAAAAGATGTATAACCGGGATTGATTTAAAAGTCCATAACAAAAGTATTTTCTTTCGTTGCTAGTTTTTTTGGTATACGAGATTTAGTATACTATTGTTTAGTATACGAGACCTTAATATAATTTTCAAGTATACATTATTTAATTGTGTTATAAGATGTATTGTTAATTCTAAGTTAGACTCAACTTTTTTTATATAACCTCCATAAAAACTTACACGTAGGTGGGCTAAAAAAGACCAACTGAACCTTTACACTGGCAAAGGTGTAAATAATATAGAATACTAAATCAAATGTAAATTAAGTTTAAAAAAAAACAATTCTGCAAGAGATAAATTAAATAAATAATTATTCCAACTCTGCTGATGAATTTTTCTGACCAAATCAACGTTATATCATCTCTGTGTCATCTCTGTAAAAAATGCACCCATGCAATTTATAGTTTGCATCGGTTGAATAACGTTGCTATTATTTCGTAAAATTCCTTAAAAATTGAAAATAAAACGTTAGACCTGTTTGCCCCCTAGCTGTCCCATTTTACCCCTGCGTATGGAGTGAAAAGGACCAGGTGACAAAGTTTTGAAAAACAGCAAAAACACATTTCTACAAATGGTGAATAAGCTGGACTTTTTACTTAACATAATCAAATAGTTGTTTGTTTGGTTTCAACAATATATTTATTATATATTTAATTATATATTTAATTTGCTCAAAGTCAAATTGGATCTTTGTGTCCCACCCTGCCCTAGCTCTTTTTTTTCAAATTAAACTCTTATTTTAAACGTTATTCAGTGTATAGTGCATTTATAACATAGCTATACAATAATGTAATATTTTCATGAATTTTGATTTGGACTTAACAATAATTATATGCAAAAGAAAATAAATCTAAAATATGTATCGCTTTTGCTTCTAAATGTGTGGCCAACATATTGATTTTGATCGAAATGATCAACATAATTAGTTGGGCAATTCTGCCGTAACAGTGCTCATAAAATAGCGTTGCCATGGTATTGGTTTTGAAAATTATGAAAATGTCTATCTATTTGCTGTGCAATCAGACATATTTTACATATGAACAAAGCAAGGGAGAATGTTATGATAACTGCATCATCGAAGATTCGTCCTTGCTTAATATTCACTACCAAGAACAAGCATAAGAGAGCGTTGCCATGACAACGCTATTTTATGAGCCTTGTCACGGTAGAATTGCCCCATAGAATTAGCCAAAAGTATTGGCCGAAGTACGAATATACTTTTCAATAATCTTAGTTAGTAATACTATTATTATATTCCGTTATATTTTCATATTTCAAAAAATTTAGAAAGATCTTACTATTCGTTTAAATATATAGTAATTATCATCAAGAATAAACAATTTTTTATATTGCAACTAAAGAATATTAAAGTGGAGTTTAAATAAATGTTCAAAACATTTACATTAATTAAAACAAAATAATTAAAATAAATAATAAAAATCATATCAATAAAATAAATAAAATTAACTTACGCATAGCCATGCTTTCTTTTTCCCCATCTCTCATTACAATTACGGTTTCGTCGTTAATACGTAATCGCCCGTTCAGAGATTCTTCAGCCTGTTTAAGAGAACTTGCGATCCACCCTGGGACTTCATCTCGCATATCTTCAATCAAAATTACTGCAAAATACACGAATATATTATTTGCTAGTCATTTAGAAATCTAAAAATTTAGTAGGTATTTTTATTATTTCAAAATATATAAATATAGAGACAGATTCTGCCGCATAACAGAAAAATGTTATGGCAAGGCTCCAATTTCCATACATTAGGCTACTGAATCATACTGAATACTGTCAAAATGTCATGTATTTGCTGTGGATTCAGGCGTTCTACGCATAAGCAGCAACATCACTCATATATTATGAAGCAGTGTCAGAAGCACCCTGTTATCTAAGATCGTTTTTTGACATTTGACAACCTGAGAAATACGCCTGACTGCACATCAACCACATGGCTTTTACAATATTTAGTATGGAAAGTTCTTCATAATATGGCCTTGTCATAACATTTTTAACGTTGTGTATAGACTAACCTAATTTGTATTATGTATTAGATAAACCTAATATGTATTGATTTCGGATTTAGTTAAATTATCCACATTGATTAAAAAATCTGTTATTAAATAATCGGGAAATGCAAAATAATCTACCACTATACTGTTTTTAGTATAAAATGTCGGTGTAGTATCAGAACAATATTCGTCCTGGCAAAAAATCAATCATCCATCAACCAAGATCGAAAGTCTATTTTAAACTAAATTATTTTGCAAACAGGAAAAACAGATAAATGAAAATGATGAAAAAATATTATCATTTTCTAAAACTATTAAAGATTACTCGCTGTTAGTATGAATAAATAATACTAGTATGAAAAAAAATAAAATAAATAGAAAAATTGCAAAATGGATACAGACAAGTAAAAAAATAGTGCGAAAAATTAAATAAGATAGTAATAAAAGTAAAAAAAAGAAGTCAGAAAGAAGAAAAAACAAAAGTAAAAACTTGATGATCGCTGAATAGAATTTAATGTACTTTTTGTATTTTTTTATTATCATTATTACTTTGTTTTAAGAATTGAATAATTTTTTTTTGTTGCGATATGTAATACAACAATAATAATATGTCTCTCGAAAGATAATCTAATGATAATAATCATATTTTTTGTATGTACGTATGATACTAATATTATAAGGATTACAAAAGAAATGATCTTCAACTAAAATTTATCTAAAACATTGTACAACGCTTAAACTGATTAAGATTCAATCCGCCACTTTATCACTAAATATTCTAAAAAAATATATTACCAAAAATTATAATTTTTGTCAGTTAATATATCGATTTAACTTCCTCCGGGTCAACTATTCTATTGTCCCAACCTTTTGTTGATTGCAAACATAAGGCATAGCAAAGTTTATTAGTCAATAGATAATATTGTCACATATTGTGTATATTTTGTGAGCCTAATCAATAAAATAATGTTTTCAAACAGTTACAATGTGTGGGCAACAGAGCTTAATTATTCAAGATGTGACATCCACGGTCATGTATAAAAAATCAACACTAAAGATTTTAGATAAATATTATCGTTGAGAATCGAACGAAAAAATTATTAATAAAGTAATAATTTATTACGTTGTATAGAATACAAGTTTGGAAAATATATCAATTTAATTCTTTTATGTATTTTAGGTTTTCAAATAAAAGTAAATTAAAATATTTGTATGTATTTGTATGTATAATTGTCATGTAATTATTGAATATTTTTCACGATAATTTGGTGTTAAGGAAAACACAATAATTTGTTTGTGCGTTCAAACAATTCTTGTTATATAATACAATAAAGATTATATCATCGCCAATTAACGTTTTTATCTAATTGTTAGCTTATATTTACTACCTTTATTTATTAAAATTAAGAAATTGTATATTGTTAGAAACATTTCTAAGTTACCTTTCAATATTTTATTTTATTTGCATTTATTGATGATTCGCAAATATCTTCAAGACCCGCACTTCCACAACCTTCTATATCCTATCTTTCAATAATATTGTTCATATTTTATAATACATTACACATGTTGCAAATATCTATTAATTAAACCCTCATTAAGAATTTATATATTCAAATTGTAAATATGACAAAAAAAGTGAATATTATCTCGCAGACATGCAAAATTAAATTAGCTTGCTTTCTAATCATTAAGTGACCAATATTAATAATTATATATGACAGTAATTTCACTCGCCCTAAAATATATTCACCATTGATTATCATTACTTGAATATATAATTTTGGCGCTTACTCATTGATCCTGTAATTAAATACACGTTTTAATTCCCACCAAAAGGTAATTTCAATTAAAGTATCAAATTAAATATCTGTTTGCCGAGTTAGCAACAACCTATCAAAATCGTAACTGTCCTAGGTTCGATTCTTGATACTTTAAAGGGGTATTTATGTAATTACATAGTATATAAGGAATAGGGTAGATGCACCGAACTTCCTATACATTTGCCAAACATGTACAATAATTTATTTAGAGTAGCATTGCTCTTTCCTGACCAAATTTGTTACTATGAATTGAAGATGTTTGGCAAGCAAAAACATTGTATTTTAATTTAAAATTAATTTAGAACTTCAATTATTTTTAAATCCCTAATTTTGACTGAAAATTATAGTGGAGAAAATTTTTATATTCTCAATTTTAATATGTTTATCAAATATATATCTCATTTTTCTTGTTTTGAAAAATTTATTCCGTTGGGTAGATGTTAATATCAAGTTACTACAATTGAACAATATGCATTAAATTGTATTAAACGATGCAAGCAAAAATGTCTAGCGATGGTCAATAAAATTAAATAGAAAAGTAACTTGAGTAGTAAAATCCGTAGACAAAAACTAACTAAAACTGAGCCTATTCAATAATTAATTTATAAAAGTACATGGGCTATCTATCACCATATCCTCTGTATAAATTATACTAGATCCTTGGGCCATGTAAGGCTAGGTAAGTAAAAATTTATAAAAACCTACCATATTTTTCGTAAAAGTAAAAACTTCAAAAAATCTAAAGTGAATCATCAGATATAACTGATCTAATAAATTAGTTTGTCAGAAAAAGGAAAAAAGTGTGTGGATTTTATTTGAATTGTTTGGAAAAAGTATATAATTATCATGAATAAATATTTCTTTTTATTTTTAGATTTTATTTTAATTTGTGAGAAATCTTTACCCTAAGGGTAAAATAAAACCCTTAAAATATGTCCTATCTAAAAAAAATCCTATGTAAAACTTTCTATTCTGTAAAAAACTTAATATTTTTGTGCCTTCTATATTATTCAACTAGTAAACTAATTATTAAAAAAATATTAGAACGGATTGGGTACGGTTGGGCCACTTTTTTATCAGCAATAATTTTCTTAATTTACCATTGAGCTGGGATAAAAGTAAATCAAATGATAATTTGAACATTTGTTCACATAAAAAAACTGAAATACTATCCTTAAATACGATGGGTCGGTTATAAAATCAAATCATACAAGAGAAAGGTGAGTGTCCGTCGGGTGTGGACGGTTGGGACAGACTTAAAAATATAAATAGATATAAACACCAAAAATTTATAATTAATTAACTAACAATAATATGTTACACAACAAAACATAAACATTTAAACAAGCTTATGAATTCTTTGCAAAATCTTTTTTTTCTTGTATTGAGTTTTTTTTTCTTTTCTCTTTCATAATTCATCTTAGTTAAGTTAGATTTTTTTATCTGCTTAATCTTCACTTACAAAGGCCAAGAAATCCGTGTCACAATCGTACCCACAAAATTTGTCACAACCGTACACAACACACATTTTTGAAAACAAATCATTATTATGATTGAGCTAAACTATCTAAGCAAAAACTAATTGCTGGTAAATAACTGCTAAAATTCAACTTACATAAAAATCATAAACAAAGTGATCTATCTGTATACAATTAACAGTTGTTATTAAAAGAATTTGAATATAAAAACTTACTTTTGACTCTTTAAAGGCAATAATAGTTCACGTTAATGTCAGGCACTGACTGAACGCAGTTATGGGAACTTGTTCGAACAATCATATTTCATCTTTTACCCTTTGGATCCTATCTCAAAATCAGTATAGTTTAGCTGTTATGACAAATGTCACTACCATATCCTGGCACAACCATACTTAGACTCCCCTGCTCTTAAATAATCAGAACATAAATCCAATCATGTTTGATAGGTCACAACATCTTAGGATTTATACATTTAAACAGTAATAGGTATAAAATTACAAAGAAGTTGTTTGCATAAAATCTGAAAATATTATTAAGTGCACAAATCGTAAAACATTTTTATTATCATTCATGATTCTACTTACAGAATTTTACAGTCGCCGTCGTGTTTTGCATCAGACACACGCGTACGCAAAAGACCATCATTATCACAATTTTAAAAAATATCACTTGCATGATTACAAAACGCACGACTGACTGGATAAACACGAAATTCTTAACTTAAATGTAAAGAAACGATACTGATTTTTTACTTTAACCTTTTATATTTTACAAGTAACATTTTCACGCTGGAAAAGCGCGAGCGATTATGTCGAACTGGCTTTAGTACTACTGTCGCACAATAAATAACGATATGAAATTGTCACACGAACCAATACATGTAAAAAATAATGTGCTCGTTATCAGGGATGGAAAAGTAATTCAGATTTATAATGTTAGATCAAAAAATAATATCTATTTTGTTTGATATAATAAAAATTTGGTTTTTAATAACTAATTTTCCATTACTTAACCCTTTCCACTCGGGAATTCCGAAATTAATATGTATTTTGTCGGTAGCCGGATCCGAGTGTAAAGGGTTAATTTTATAGATTTGTATAAATAAGGATTAAAAATTTTGAATATTCATATTTCATATTTGGGCTATAAAAGTATATATTTTTAGAGAAAAAACAAAACTCTCTTTCTTTACCTTTCTTTCTCTCTATTGAACTATTTCAAATAATATATATTTATGTCAGCAACAATTGCATATTTTTTAAAAATAAAATTTATTACCAAATAGTGC